TGAAAAAAAAAAAGAAAATGTAAAAAAAAAATTCTTATGACACATCCATCCAGTGACGTATTAGCCATAAAAATACAGTTGTTGACAAGGAAAGTCAATAAAATTGTGTGGTCAAGTGTAAATAAAAGCATGTCCCAAACAACAACAACAAAAAAGTAAAATAAGGCTGTTGTTAATTGTGAAAGTTAGTGCCTGGTTTCCTATTTTCTGGACTTGCTGTATGTACATATTCCTTTCTCCCCTCTCTTTCCTTGTCTTTTCATTTGTTTCTAGATCTCTTGTTTATGTTAGGAAGAGCATTCATGCAAAAAATTAACCAGAAACCAGAAAGTAATTTCTGTCTGGGCAGAAATTAAGCAATAGACCCTGTGAGGTGGGCACATCATTTTTGATTTTGCATTTCCTTTTTCTTCCCCCAGAGTGATAATAGTGGTCGTTTTCGGGGATTTCAGTTCAGTTTAGTCACTCAGTCATGTCCGACTCTTTGCAACCCCATGAATCGCAGCATGCCAGGCCTCCCTGTCCACCACCAACTCCTGGAGTTTACTCAAACTCATGTCCATCGAGTCGGTGATGCCATCCAGCCATCTCATCCTCTGTCGTCCCCTTCTCCTCCTGCCCCCAATCCCTCCCAGCATCAGGGACTTTTCCAGTGACTCAACTCTTAGCATGAGGTGGCCAAAGTATTGGAGTTTCAGCTTCAGCATCAGTCCTTCTAATCAGGAAGTTAGATCTGGGTAATTTTGTTCACAGTTTTCTTCATCCTTTAAGTTTTATCATTAGAACAGTAGGCATTGCTCTCCGAAAAGTAGTTTAAGTAATATGCTTGCTTGTTTTTTTTTCCAAAGATCCTTTTATTGGAGTATAGTGATTTACAGTGTTGTGTTAGTTCCAGGTATATAGCGAAGTGCTTCAGTTATGCGTATATCTATGTACGAATGTGTATATTCTTTTTCAGATTCTTTTTCATTATAGGTTATTGCAAGGTACGTGGTTGCCTGTGCCATGCAGTAGGCCCTTGTTGCTGTACCCCCTGACAGCTGCAGAGAATGGCTTAATTCATGCTTGTTGAGTGCTAAGCGAATGGAGATATTACTTGCGAACACCTGTACTTGCTCTAAGTGGCTTCTCTGGTTCCCGTTAGTTGATTTTAAAAAATTATGAAAGTGTCAAATGTACAGCTTGCATTCTGCCTTAACTTTATTTTGTTTGGTAACAATGGCAGTTTTAAATATGGTGCTTTTTGTAGGATAGCATGGCCTTTCTGCTATGGCTTATAAATATTTTTCCTAATTAGTTCCTGGAGCGTTACTTCTGCAAGGCTGTCCGGACTGCGTTCTGTCCCCGTCACTACATGATGCTGATGGCTGTCGTGCTTCATTAGCTCAGTGTTTCTCATCTTTATTGGACCATTTTGTCCTGTCATTCCTCAGATACTTTTTAAGTGCTTATTGCATATGTTCTAGAAATCAGGGGTAGACGTGGCAAATTTATGCACTGCTGCAATTTTTATGTGTGCATGTGTCTTTTTATGTAACTGGTCAAGTGGCACTTTTGCTTAACAGTGAGTATTTTATATTAAGTCTGGCCTTCCTGCCTGTAAGACTGTCTGGTTTATAATCCAAATTTCATCATTTATATGTATGGACTAGCGAGTGAAATAGTACTCACTCACCTGACTGTCTGGCCAGGTGTCCACTAATTGTCACATCGCTTTATGTCTTAAATCATGCTGTTCTCTCCCAGTCTGTTCCACGGGTTAGAGAGACTGTGCTAAGAAAAAATGAAACCTGTATTCTTTCTGGCTTGCTGTTTTGATACCACTTAAGCCTCTTGTGACTGCCTCATGTAATTTTTATTAAAAATCTGTCTGAGCCACTTCAGATGTCAATTCTTTGTCTTCCATGACAAAATATCTTGGCTTTCTTATGAGTTTGTTTTAAATCACTCTGACTGAAGATTTAAAAAACAAACTGTAATCCATGCTTCCCCAGTAATTTGATAGCTATTTTAATAATATAAATATGTTTAAAATTTCTCAACTTTATATTCTGAGCCCCTGATGTGTCTGTGTCTGAGTTGCAGTTGCATGGTAGCTTTTTAAGCTGCAAACACGCCTTTTACCAGGCGGAGGTGCGGCTGCTCTTCATCGCTCTTTTCTGGGTTGCTTCAGCATGGAGCCACAGATTCGTTTTTATCTTTAGCCTTTCTTGTTGCCTCCGTTTCCTCTTGTATTTTCCTGCCACTTGTTCCTGAACTGTCCTTTGACTGTTTCCTCCAAACTTCCTATCCTTTTCTCTTTCCTCTTTGTGTCCTTTCTTCAAAATGCAGTCTGCATATTGGCCTTTTCCCTGAAACTCAGTTTCCTTCTTCGTTAGTTTCTTTTGACTGCTCATTGTCACATCAAATAGCCTTAAACAAATTTATATTTATAACACTGTAAATTGTAAAATGATTCCGTTCTCAGCGGAGCTGTACTGTGTGTTAACAGCGCCGGTGTTAGACGCCTGGGACCCAGACGCCGCGTCGTGTGTGCTTTAATGCCCTTACTTCAGGCATCTCTTGATTTCCACTGATGCTCCCTGAGCTTCTCCTCTCTTTCCTTCCTCGTTCATTTTTCATACATAAACTACATTCCAGATCATGTCACCCCGTACCTATGTGATTCACACCCCTTTTTAGCTGACCCTTCCCTGTCCAATTTATTTTGCTTGTGTCTGTACTTCAGCTAATAAAAGACTTTATGTTCATACTGATTTTAAACTGAGAATCTCATTCATGCATTCCCTATTCATCTAGCAACAGAGTGCCCATTATATGCCAAGGAAGTTTCTCGGTGCTGGGCCTGGAAAAGTGAACAAAGCAGCATGTCTGGTCCCTTCTGTCCCAGAGCTAATATTGTAACGGTTGGTGGGACAAGGAAGGATGGGTATCCTGAAGACTTCTGTGGGCAGGTTTATTTGAGCTGAGAGAAGAAAGACAGGAGAAAATAGATAAGAAAATTATGAAAAGCAGTTAAATGAGCAGGGGCTTTCATGCCTCTCCTTTATTACAGATGGGATTGTCTTTAAAATAATCACTGTGTTGAGATAAGAATTCAACTATAATCTCAGTAGTATCTCAGGCATCATGGGGAGGGGGAAGGGGTAAAGTATTCACAAAAGGAGTTGAAGAAATTTAGTGTGCATGATTATTTGCCACGTTGGCTGTTTCTTGCAGCCCATTTGTGCCTATGGGACAGGAAATATGTAACAAAATAAAACTGGCAGATATAGGTGAAAAATTCCATTGTCTGAGTGGTTTCTTTTTCCATTTAACCTTAATGGTATTTAGATTAATTACTTCATAGTTTCTGTTCTCTGTTGAGGGGCGGCACAGAATTTGTTTTGGCCAGTTCATTTATGATGTTTTCCACAAGGTGTGTTTACTGAAGTACTGAGCTAAGGAGGCCAGGTTCCTGTGTTTGACGGCTGGAGGTTAAAGCTGCCCTGACGTCTCAGGCTTCCAGGGACTGGCCATAGGTGTAAGGGGCTGGGGCTGTCCACGGCCTCCAGAGTGTGGCCAAAGCAGGCAATCAGCAGAAAGAGAAGAGGAAGAAACCGTTCAATGAAGTCCTGTTGGCAGGGAGAGTGGGACAGAATCGCCTTGGGTTTCATTGTGTTCTTAAAGAGATACAGTTATTATGAATTCCCATCTTCTTTCTTGTAAGTTCTGATGTGGGCCTGTAAGAACCTGAGAATCCGAGGTTTGACTGGATGTTTGGATTTCTTAAGCTACTATAATGAACCATAATATTCTCTTTTTTTTTTTTTTAATAATGAACCATCATATTCTCTGTGTGAGATTGCATTAGTTGCCCCGTGGTAACACAAGTGTAATTAATACGTTTTCATTTTACACAAGGAAATCATTCATTCATTCACTTTTAGAAATTGTGTCCTTATCCATTCTGTCCTTGGTTCTGTGTTTGAAAAAAATCAGATATTTTGTTAATGTTGTAGCTTTTGTTATATGCTTTGTAGAAAATTATTTATTCTTTATGCTTCTAGTCTGTTTTAGCTAAATTTGGCTTGATACTTGGCTGTTAAGTTACAGGTGTTCAGTGATGTTTAGCCTTATTAAAACTGCTTTACCTTCTGAAATTTTACAGCATTTTCAAAACCATCTTGTCACAAACTCAGAAGTCTGTGGCACTTAAGATGTCTGCTAAAGTTCTTGACATTTGTACTTCCTCGTGTAGTTTTTCAGATTTTTTATTAGTTGATGATTTTTTTCTTTCTCTGAGAAAGATGTCTTGTAACACTTTAGTTTTCCAGGATGGGGGCTCTAGTTACTTTGTACGGTGTTATGTAAAGGGGAACCCAATGAACAGATGATGATAATGGTAGAGCTTTTCATTCAATAATCAAAGATAAACTTTATAGCCTATATTATAACTGACTCTGGAGCAGGGTGCTTTATAATGTCTTCTGTATTCCCAGAAGCACGTGATACTACTAGCTTTACCTTTACTGTCATTACTTTTGTAGCTTGCTTGATTAACTTACTAATGTCAGAAGTACTGAAGTAAATTGTGATTTCTCAGCATAAGTATAATGAAACAAATACCGTGCTTAAAATGGCTGTCCACCAGTAAACACTCATCAAGCATATGCTCTGAGTGAAGCACTTGGCTAGGCGCTCAGTTAGACCCAGAAATGAATGAGGCGTGGCTGCTGACTTCAGGAAGGTGTGTGGGAGATCACATCCTGTGCGAAGCAGAGCTTCCAGAGCTACCTGCGTGGCTTTGTCTTCAGGATGCGCCACCTCAGATACCTTACCATGCATGCGTCATCACCAGTGTCCCAAAGGTGAAATTCGTTCACTGTTTGTTTTACTTTTAATTAGTGTAAATACTGGTTGCATTTAAAGGCTATACCTAATGTTTATGATGTCTTACTTTTTTATTTGAACTTTTCCTATATATGTTAATGTAAATCCTTATGTTATTTTCTCCCTAGTTTGCTAGAAAATGGTCAGTTTGAAATTGTGACAGGTGGCTGGGTAATGCCTGATGAAGCTGGGGCACATTATTTTGCCATAATTGACCAACTAATCGAAGGACATCAGTGGCTGGAAAAAAACCTAGGTATGTATCTGTATGTTTGTCTGTCGTACGGACTGTGCAAGGTGCTGTGCTCAGTCGTGCCCGACTCTGCGGCCCCGCGGACCGCAGCCCACCAGGCTCCTCTGTCCGTGGGGCCTCTCCAGGCTGGAACCCTGGGGCGGGTTGCCACGGCCTCCGCCAGGGGATCTTCCTAAACCAGGGGCGAACCCAGGTCTCCTGCATTGCAGGCAGATTCTTTTCCATCTGAGCCACCAGGGAAGCCCAGAAATACTGCAGTGGGCAGCCTGTCCCTTCTCCAGGGCGTCTTCCTGACCCTGGAATCGAATCAGGGTCTCTTCCCAGTGGGGAGCTCAGGCACCGCCTCTAGCGAGCGGCTGTGGCTGGCCGCCTGTCAGGTGTCGTCAGCGCCCGCTGGTGCGGTCAGTGCCTCCGTCGGGGAGGCTCGTCAGCGTGGAGCTCTCAGCAGCTCGGGCCTGCTTTCCTGTAGACCCGGCCCTGTGTGCCTTTTGTGTTAGCTCATCTTTCTTTGTATCTTTTCACTATGATAAATCACAGCTGTGAGTGTGACTCTATGTTGAGTGCCAAAAGTTTTCTTAAATAAAGAAGTCTAGGGGTGGGCTTAGGGACCCCCTACTTAGTGTCACTTTTCTTAAATATTGAGTTGGCCAAGAATTTCCTTCAGTTTTTAAGTAAAAATAAAAGACACTGTTTTTTTTTTTAATCAGGAACTTTATTGAACAAAGTATTCACCGTTCTGTTCCACTACCTTCTGGCATTTTTCATGCAACTTTATAATTCCATTTTCTCAAAACTTTTTGTCTTTTTGAGCAGAGAACTGTTCCAGGTGCCTTTTTATACTCTTCCAGGGAATTGAAACTTTTCCCATTAAGAGAATTTTGTAAAGACTGCAGTAAGTGGATTTTGTATATTTTTTCTTCATGTTTAGCTTTTATGGATGTGTAATTGACATGCAGTGGAACATGTAAGTCTTAACTGTAGAGTTCTGACAGATATATATACCCATGTAACCCCGTTTTCATCATTCTAGAAAGTTCCCTCCTTCCCCCACCCCCCGAATTTCTCCCTGCAGCCAAGTGCTCTGTGTTGCTACCACTGTAGATTATTTTCACTTATTTAAAAAGGGATAACACTTTTGGATCTGACTTCTTTTGTTCAGCATAGACATTTTTCTTCTTGTATTATAAGTAACTGTTATTTTACATGCCATAAAATTCACTCATTTAAAGTGTTCAGTAGTTTTTGGTGTTGTCGCAGAGTTGTGTAGCCGTAACTGCCATCTGTTTTAGAACTTGATCAACATCCCCAGAAGGAACCTCTTGTTCATTAATAGTCCCACCCCTTTCTGACTCCTTCCTTCTCTGTCCTAGGCTCAGGTGACCAGTGATCGCCTTAGTGGAACACACACACGCACACACACACACACACACATAGAGACACAGACACACACACAGACACACACACAGAGAGACACATACACAGACACACACACAGACACACACACACATACAGACACACATACAGAGAGACACACACATACACACACAGACACACACACAGAGACACACACACACAGACACACACACAGACACACACACAGACACAGACACACACACAGACACACACACACAGACACACACATACACACACAGAGAGAGACACAGACACACACACAGACACACACACAGAGAGACACAGACACACACGCACACACACACAGAGAGACACAGACACACACACAGACACACACACACACAGACACACACACAGAGAGACACAGACACACACACAGAGAGACACAGACACACACACAGACACACACACAGAGACACAGACACACACACAGACACACACACACACAGACACAGACACACACACAGAGACACACACACAGACAGACACACAGACAGACACACAGACACACACACACACAGACACACACACAGACACACACACAGACAGACACACACATACACACACAGACACACACACAGAGAGACACAGACACACACACAGACACACACACAGAGACACAGACACACACACAGACACACACACACACAGACACAGACACACACACAGACACACACACAGACACACACACACAGAGACACACACACAGACACACACACAGACAGACACACAGACACACACACACAGAGACACACACAGACACACACACAGACAGACACACACATACACACACAGACACACACAGAGAGACACAGACACACACACAGAGAGACACAGACACACACACAGACACACACAGAGAGACACAGACACACACACAGACACACACACACATACAGACACACATACAGAGAGACACACACATACACACACAGACACACACACAGACACACACATACACA